AAATTTTGGGGGGGGGGGGGGGGAAGTTATTAGATTTTTTGTCAAATCTAGATTCAATTTGAATTTAATTAAAATTAGATTTATATATTATTTTCGTTAAACAATATTTATTAAAATCCCTTTATTTTATATTGATTTAACATTTGAATAATTTAACTTTAAAAGTATAACTAATGAATTCTAAGATTAAATTGTGTTTGATAATTTCTTACATTAAAAGTTGAATAGAATAAACTATCTCTTTGATTTTATTATATGTGTCTTATTTTTTTTTCTTTCTTTTGTTTTCCTTCTTGTCGACATAACATGGAATTGTATGGGTAAAAAACAAGGAACCAAAAATAATGTTGGCATCATTGCTAATGGTAGGGGTATAAAATGAGTCCGGCTATATTTTTTTGAATTGGGTTTAAAATATTTTATCCCAGAAAAAAATAGGCCGAACGAATCAACTCGTGGTAAACCAACTCGACGAATCTATGAATTGGCTTGCGAGGCGGAAAAAAATATTTTTAAAATATTTTTTATTTTTTATATATATTTATATATTTTATATACAAATTGTATTTTTATTGTACATTTAGTTTATTTTGTTTAAAATTTTAAATTTTTATTATATTTTTTAATATTAAAATTTTTTAAATTAAATATTTGGTTGCGAGATGGTTCGTTTAGTTCGAATTAAGGTGAACTGAATTAGACTGATCAATTTTTGACTCAATAAAAATAGATCGAATTGGATTGGATTAAAATATTTTCAGATTGAAACGGGACGGATTGGGTTGGGCCGAACCAGTCCTTTTTACATCCCTAACTAATGGGTAATGGAAAAATACTATTTCGATATATATATATATATATATACACGTTGTCAGAAAATATTATATTTTTTGTGTGTTATAAAGTGTCATTTTTTATAAAGATGTTCTGAATAACAACGTTTGATTATAAATTGGTATCTTTAAATCTTGTATATTCATGCTAATTTTCAATAAATGGTTGACCTAAAATATTTTTCCATTCCAAAAAATGTTATATTTCATTTTTTTTAAAGTTTATAATTCTAATTTTTAGATAATTAGGAAAACTAACATGTAATCGATAAATATAATTATTTCTCAACATAAATTATCGTTTTCCATTCTATCCTAGATCTTGTTTAACAATTTTTTTTACCATTTAACAAATTTTGAGACTGTAATTCTGTGTTTTAAAATGATAAAAATCTAACTTATTAGGCTTTAGGTATATGTGCACTTCTAGTTTTAGATAGGTGAAAATCAAACGAGATCAAACCAAAAACAAATCGTCAGTAAATTGCAAAGGGTTATATTTTTCTACAGAAAGAAGAGTAAAACGAAATCGAATTGAACTGATATTAATATAAAAATCCAAAAAATGATTTTTTTTTAAAAGTAAACAAATTTTAAAACTAAGCAACATATTATAATAACTGAATTATATATTTTTTTTATAACCGAATAATTCGAAATAACAAATACCAAACGAAATCGAATCAAATAATGGAAAACTTCCACCCGTATTTCTAGGTATGGGAGTTATGGCGTGAATCAATAACGGGAAGGCCCACCCTTTGCACGTCTTATTCATTCCGTTTCCAAAAGCAATGCAATTAAAATTTTGTTTTCTTAGGAATTAATAAATCTTGGATATATCCCTTTCCTTCATTAGTTACAATTTATTCGAATTGGACCGACATTTTATGCTATCCACCGGAAATTTATGATTGCAATTCCGAAGCCGTGCATGGATTCGTTTCCGGTAAAATCCAAAATTAAAAAATAAAAACAAATCGCTATACTGTTCTATTCTTTTAAGTAGATATTTCCTGTATATACTCAGTAATCCTACGTTAATTATAAATTACAGACTGTTTAACGAAAATCCTAATCTTTTGTAATATATTGCGTATTTACACTCCACAATATTTCAAGCGCTTATATTAAGTTTTTTTTTTATCTTTTTAATATTTCTTTTAATCGGTAAAGGTTATGTTTTATAGTCTTCAGAATTTATTTTATTCAATTTAATTTGATCCTATATTATTTTTGAGATATTTCACGCGGTCTATGTATTATGTATATATAAATAAAATACGAAAATGAAGATGAATTAAGTAGCCGAGTTTCATACGTCATTAATGGTTATTATGATATGACCAATTGAAATGTGACGGAGATGGTACGTTGCCTCGCGGATTCGACATTTCAAACTATCTCGATTACGACCAAAGGAAAATTTCAATTTTAAATTCCTTTTTTTTTGTAAATAAATAAATACTTTTCTACGATCCGTGAAAATATTTAAAAGTTATCGTTGTTGTTTTGCAATTTGCATAGATTTATGCAGATATGAAGTGAGAATGATTTTTTTATATACCAAACTAAAATGTGTTGAGGATTATTTGAACTTGATTTTTCAATTTACCATAAAGATTTTTTTATCCAGACGGATTATCTAAAATTAAATTACATAATACATTAAAATTTTCATATTTTAACATTATTTGTTTTCTAAAAATACCCTCTAACAAATTTAATTTTTACCTCTTAATATGTTTATACATGAGAAACAAAAAGTTTTCAATAATATATTTAGAAGTGATATTATATTGAAATGAAATGTAACAACATTGTAAAACGACACGTGTGTATAAATTAAAATTATTACGTCACGTGATCCGTGGTTAAAAAGTAAAGAAGGTCGACGTAACAAAAACAAGTGATCGGGGAATTTATAATTAATTATGGAAATAAATGTAAATACATTATATATATATATATATATTTGTATAACAGAGCGAAAATTTATTACACGTTGGTTCTATATGCGTGTATATTTATTTATACCAAGAGCTAACACCTATTCGTTCACAAAATGGCTTCATCACTCAACCTCATCCACGTAGCGCGAGTCACCCCTTCATCTGACTCGGGTGAGTCAGTTACACTCCCCCTCACCTTCTTCGACGCCCTCTGGCTAAAATTCCCCCCAGTCGAACGACTCATCTTCTACCCACTCACCACTGCAACTCGCCCGTACTTCGACTCAGTCATCGTCCCTAATCTCAAGGCCTCTCTCTCTCACACCCTGTCCCACTACCTCCCACTTGCCGGCCGACTCGTCCTTGACTCGCTTGACGCGAATCCCAGACTCGTTTACTCCGCGAACGACGCCGTTTCTCTCACCGTCGCCGAATACGACGCCGACTTTTCCCACTTGTCCGGAGATGGACCGCGTTGCGCCACCGAGTTGTACCCGTTGGTACCCGAGTTGCATATCTCCGATGACTCGGCCTCTGCTGTGTCGTTTCAGGTCACGTTGTTCCCGGACCAGGGGTTTTGCATCGGCGTAAGCGCACATCATGCCGTTTTGGACGGAAAAACGGCAACCATGTTCCTTAAAGCTTGGGCTCACATAAGCAAACAACGACAACACGAGGAACCAAACAACTTCGACCTTTCTTTACCGCAGGATCTAATCCCCTTTTACGATCGAACGGTCATAAACGCTCCGCCGGAGCTCATGTCGGAGGTGTTGAACACTTGGTTCTATTTTGTCGAAAAATTCTCCGGCGACGTAGATAAAGCCAAGCCCTTAAACCTGAATCTTATACCCTTTCCGGAGATTGGCTCCGACGTTCTGCGGTACACGTTCGAGTTGACTCGGGGCGACCTCCAGACCCTGCGTGACCGAGTCATGACCGAGTCTCCGCCGGAAGTAAACTCGAAAGAGCTTCGCTTGTCGACGTTCGTGTTAGCCTTCTCGTACGCGTTCGCGTGCATGGTTAAAGCCCGAGGCGGAGATCCGAAACGACCCGTCGGGTATGGGTTCGCCGTCGACTGCCGGAAAATCTTCGACCCACCGATTCCGGGAAACTATTTCGGTAATTGCGTCTCCGGCGGCCTGAAGCTTAATCTGACGGCGGAGAAGTTTCTTGGGGAAAAAGGGTTTGTAACCGCCGTTAAAATGGTTAGCGACACGGTGGCGGGGTTGGACCCGAAGGTCGGCGTGAAGATACCGGAGATTCTGCGAGGGTATATGAGTGTTCGACCCGGGACACAGTTACTGTCGGTTGCCGGGTCGACCCGGTTCGGGGTTTACGGGTTGGATATCGGGTGGGGAAGACCCGTTAAGGTCGAGATCGTGTCGATCGATCACGGCGAATCGATATCAATGGCGGAGATACCGGAGATTCTGCGAGGGTATATGAGTGTTCGACCCGGGACACAGTTACTGTCGGTTGCCGGGTCGACCCGGTTCGGGGTTTACGGGTTGGATATCGGGTGGGGAAGACCCGTTAAGGTCGAGATCGTGTCGATCGATCACGGCGAATCGATATCAATGGCGGAAAGCAGAGATGGAAGTGGTGGTGTGGAGATTGGCTTCTCGCTCAAGAAACACGAGATGGACGTTCTCATTCCTTTGCTTCGCCATGGATTGAAGAATTAATGAATAATAAGAGTTGTGTGTGTTTTTTTTTAAATCGTTGTGTGTTTTTTTTTTCTTATTTGCTTTTTGCCGGAATAAATACAGAGATGTATACGTATCGATTTGAATGAGAATTCAGTTCCCTACAAAATCAGTTGGGGATGGTGACGAGATCTTTCACGTAATTTCAAGTATTTTGATTATCTTTCAAACGACGTCGGATATGCAATGAATCCAATGCGGTCAGCGGTCAACCTAAAGATATCAGGACCAAAATCTAAAAAGGGAAAGTTATCCAAATCACGACACAAATCCCTTCCCTTTAATAGTAAATTGTTATCTAAAACCCATGAACCCGATTATATCCGTAATATAAAAAATATATGAAATACAAAGCTTTTATCTGAACCACATTCTGCGATTAGTTCTCGTGGTTCATATGGCTCGGTGTATTATATTATAAATCAAATACTTTAATTTAATGAACTAGTTTATCATTCGCTCCCTCTCATGGCAAATAACGTTTTAAATGATCTTGCAGCTACATGTATCAATACATTATACATACTATATATGATTCTCTAATGGTTTAAAATATTGTATGCATACATACCGTATAAATTCTCTAGATATTTTTGTCGTACGATGGAATATAGAATAGCGTTTTTTAAAGAATATTATAAAATAATAATCTAAGACGTAAGATATTGTATACAAATTGGAATTTTCCTCTCGGTGTGTTGACGTATGCATGCGCGTCATCGAGTGTTTCAGATACCGAACAAGCTATTACGTTGTGACGTTTCTATAAAATGATATGTTCAACGCGCGAACTCAGTAACTCGGTCACCAATGGGTCTAAAAGTTATAGAGGTCTCCCGAGTCAGCCCTGCATCGGACTCGGTCGACTCGCTCGATATCCCCCTCACTCTCTTCGATTTATTGTGGATAAGGTTTCATCCCGTCGAACGAGCCTTCTTCTACCAATCCACCGAGTTAACTCGCGAGTTCTTCGACTCTATCATCCTCCCCAAGCTCAAGCACTCTCTCTCCGTCGTCCTCTGCCATTACCTTCCCGTCGCCGGCCGCATCACGTGGGACCCACAGAAGCCAAAGCCGAGTGTCGTCGTCACCGGGAACGACGCCGTTTTGCTGACGGTGGCAGAGACCGACGCGGATTTCAACCCTCTCTCCGGCTACAACCAACGCCCGGCGACCGAGTTACGCCGCTTGGTGCCCGAGTTATCAGCTTCAGATGACTCAGCTTCCATTGTCTCTCTGCAAATCACTTTGTTCCCAAACCAAGGGTTTTGCATCGGCGTCGTAGCACACCACGCCGTTCTTGACGGTAAAACTACAAGCATGTTTATCAAAGCTTGGGCTCACATCTGCAACGAGGAACATGAATCTGAAGTCTTTGCTTCTCTACCTGAAGATCTAACTCCGTGTTTTGATCGTACGGTCATCAAATATCCAGTCGAACTCGATTCGAAGTTGGTGGATCTGATGTCGTATTTCGGACATGACAACGCCGAAGCAAGAAGCTTGAAACTGATGCCGGCAAGGGAAACCGGCGATAATGTGACCCGAGTCACTCTCGAGTTGACTCGGGAGAACATCCAGAAACTCCGGGACAGAGTCAAGAACGAGTCATCAAAGCATCATCACTTGTCCACTTTCGTCGTCACGTACGCTTACGTGTGGACATGCATGGTGAAGGCGCGTGGAGGAGACGCGAATAGACCCGTCGCTTTCGGATTCGTCGCCGATTACAGAGATCGGCTAAACCC